GTCCAACCTTCTTTTCACCGTAATTTCTCTTCATACGTGGTGCGATTGTTAGAACAGAGGATTCTGGATTGTGTGAAAAAATTTCGTGGTAAAGAACGAATGCTTGGCTCGGAGGACATAGAAGACGTTTCGTATAGAACGTGCTATATCAAAAAGCAAATTGTAGTCGGTCGAGTGTCCGGGGGAAGCCACGTGATCGGCAGGTGGGATTGGTAACGGTCCAAAGGGCAGAAGCAGGATCAATAAGAAAAAGACTGGTTCTCCGTGATGCATGGCGCACCTGCTCTTCGGAGAGACACGAGGAGAGCGGATCCGATCTCGTCCACGATTCTTCGTCAAAAATCTCGAATCGTTTCATTGTCGGAAGCGACGGCGACGTTCCAGCACGTATATAGCGAAATAGGTATCGTTCGAGTCGCTCGAGCTTCGACCTTTTGAAATTCATAGATTTGTATTTCGTCTCGTTGAACGAGGAATCGAACAGAAGAATCACGATCGAAAGCAATTGGAAGTAGCAGAGTCGTTGAAACCCGATTCCAGTGAAATTGATGGACGTAAGCACGGCTTAATGGGAAACGATCGTGTTCGCGCAAGGTTCGAAAGACGGTGTTATAAGAGAGCAGAGGAAGTTAGTAAGATAGAAGAGCTTGTTTTCTTTCGAGAGTCTCTGTAAGGACTACGGTTAAGATCTCAGCCAACGTATGCCATCTGCCAACTAGTTCTTTGGATGCCAGTCGCCCTTTAGTTTACCAGCGCGCAAGAAGTAGCTCGCTGCCCTTTAAATCGGCTCTACTTTGGCAATCACGATCAGCTGCCTAGTCGGCGTCTCTCCCGTAGCTTCTTTTTCCTTACCATCCTCTTCTTGTTCCGTATTCTTCCGCTTACTTTCTTCGCGATTGTTCTCTTCCTCTCTAACCCTTTCTTCTTTTCGCTATAGACGATCCGCACTGAAAATGTCTGTATGTTCCGTTTTTTGATAAATCGACACGCGTGTTTACGGTACATAATGGAAAAAATATCGCGTAATACGTACAATGTATTTTTATTGCTCGGGGATCGCGAGTTACGAAGCCGTAGCACTTTTATCTATTTGAAACTCGTCTGGTTTAATCGCCGACAACCGTAAAATTATTTCACTCGCGGGTATTGGATTTTTTGTGGTTACACTGCAAATATGGATACCCCAGTTCCAGCGAGGTTTAGCTTGAACCGTGGAGATCGCGCTTCGACGCGCACGCGAATATATCCCTTGATATTTTAGTCTCCGGTCTTTTTTACTGTTAGAACAGAGCGTTCGAGAGGAATACGAATATTGCAGCGAGTCGAATTCGTTAAATCCAAGCATTCGATTTCCCTGAATTTGTTCATTGTAACTATATTGAACGACGATGCGTTTAAAGAACGAAGAACTCGAAAAGTATCGTCTATTTCCTTGGATTCGCGAGTCGATTTGTACCGAATCCGGGACTCGAAAGATAATGGATATAATAACATCGATGGTATAGTGATCTTTATCTTATTGGACGTGATTTATTTAGAGTGATCGAAACAGAGAACGATGACTGTTTAATCAGAGCTATTCCTTAACACGTTTAATGCCATGGGAGTCACCGGTGAACGGCGCACCAAGTTTAGTAGAAATACATAATTTGCACAAATGTCGATAGTTACACATTTTTTATTATTACCGTCGTTACTACGATGATGTGACGAAATTCATGCAGTATAAAACATGTAAAAATAGTTTTATTTATACACGAAATATAGACTTATTATGCGCAGCATAAGCCCCTAGCAGTGGCTGTCGAACATGGAAAGAAACCGTTTTCTCCGTGTTTTACCTTAATAAACAATAACCCTAAGGAAGGTTTCTATTCGAAAGATGTTTGGTAACAATTAAGGGTCCCGGCAGTAAAGTATAAAGTGCTAAACCTTCCGAGGGTTCTTTAGGATTATTGCGGGTCCGAATAAGAATATGGTAGGTAGGTCAGCACGTAACGATATAGAACAGTTATTTAGCAACGCGAAGGATAATTGATAATCGGAAAAAATAAGTGACTCGAGTGAAATTGCTGACAGGTGACCTTAGTGAGATAAATTCTTGTGGTAATATTTCAACGTTGTACGTATCGCGTAATAAAAGATTCATCGTGGTGCGAACCTTGCAAAACTGGCGTGGCATTCAACGTGTTAATATAGCAATGTGATAAAATTAAAACGACTAAATTTGTACAACTACTCGACTTCTGAGTGACAACTCACCACTCAGAACTCACAGCTAACAGTTCGCAACAACTCGAGAACTAACAAGTAACGATTAATTTGCAACTTACTCGTAACCGACTATACTCTTCACGAAAACGTCCTTTTATACAACGATTTTCGGTATTCGATTGTTCGGTATGTATTTTACAGCTGTTAGTGGCCCAAGATGGTTACGTACACCTTTTCAATTACCCATTGTCCTAAAAGGCCAGGGGCATATGGCCTAATGGGATTTTCCATCCTTGCCGGCCCGTCAGTACTTTCAACATTTTCTACCTGTATTTCATTTCATTCACCTCTATTCTACCTGTATAACATTTTCCCGTGGCTTTTCCACGATATCACAATAGAAGGATGATGCGTGACACAATTTGGCACATGACTTTCCACCTAAGGATTTTTGATACGTTCGATAAAATAGGAACGATAGGTGCTATTGGCGATTGTTACTCGCTAAGGTCAATATCGCTAGAGAAAAGGGGACGAAAAGAGAGAGAGAGAGAGAGAGAGAGAGAGAGAGAGTGAGAGAGTGCACATTGAGAAAGACAGGTTTAACAACGTGAAAGCAAAAGGTGAGACGGATGAATATGTTAGCAATCCCGTTGCGGGCTCGTAACCAAGAGTTACTCACGATTCCGACCCTCATCAGCACACAATTACTTTCTTTGCTTCGACGTAATGTCGTTCAACCGGGATTCTGGGATTTTCAAAAGACCTTTACAACTCCGAGTCAAACAATGTCCGTAGCAAGTATCAATTTAGTCATTTACTCGATCGACGTGTTTAAACGTTTACCATGAAAGCAGTTATTCGATGTAGACGAAACATTCGTACAAGTTGAATTCATAAATGTAAAACGTAGCAGAAGGTTAAATGAAAAGACTCTGTGACACGGTATCGATAATTCGCGGCGGAAATATTTCTATCGATGAAAATTCGTTCCGGACGTTAAGGATCGACTTCGTTGATAGGAGGAAATGGAATCGACAGGGTAAACCAGAGCAAATGCTATTACAGGTGAATATCTCTGGGGTGAATAAACGTTTCTGAAAATGATCCAACAATGGGGCAAAGTACGCGTATCGAATGTAATGATTTTTCCAAATACGGAAGAACGATTGTTCGATAGAAAGAATAGAATTGTTTAAACTATCGTCAACTAGATATCGTTAATCTACTTGCATCTTGTTCGATTCGATCGACGAATTATTGCCACGTTCGCAACATTGTTATCGTTCTTTCTCGAATAACCGATCTCGATCGATTTCCGGGTATGAACGTCATCGATAAGAACTGTAAAGACCGGTTCATAGAAAGCAAAGGAGCGAAGGGAAAGTAAAGAGGAGCGAAGAAGGATATCGGCTCCCATCTCGTATCCACGATAAAAATATACTGTTTGAAAAAACGTTGGAGTTTTCAGGACCAACGACGAACGTAAAAAACGGTCGAACATGATCGTTCGAGACACACGCTCTTTCGTTTGTGCGAATGTACGAACGTTTGTGGAGTACCTATTCGCCAAGGAAAAATAGAGAAAACAGAGAAAAGAAACGCGTTTCTGTGCATACGTAGTACACGCATACTTGTTACCAAACGTACATATGCATGCACGTATTTGTTTCAACATCGAAACTCGAAAATTGAAAAAGTTCAACGATGTTTTCCACGGACGAGTAGTTGGTTGACTGGATTACACCATTTTCCAGTTTCGTCCGTGCATTGCACACTTGCGGGACTTTGGCGTTTAAAGTTGCGTCTATTCCCTGAAGCAAGCGTTCCAAATAATTGACGATCCCACGTTCCTAGTTTAGATTACCGTTCAATTTACCGAGTAAACTAATTATAAGCACGTTGCTATCGTTAAATATAACAATTCTGATACTTGTACAGTTTCAGTCGCAAGTGTATACATACGATATCATCGATTGTTCTAGCTGGTACTGTCCAACGAACGTACACGACATAATGGCTTCGTAATGACATAACAGTAGAAAAGCAACTCCGCCACCGTTGATTAATCGGCGTGGGCGTCTTACGGAAAAAACTACCGTTAGATTCGGCAAACGAACATAATTATCATAAACACGCAAAACTAGTTGGACACGAAACAAGATCATCAAAGATAATTTAGCCTAACCAATGACAAGCCTAGTTCCTTCTGGCGAATAGACCAGTTCGATTGTATGGGTGGTTGCGCCTTTTCACGAGTCGCTAATTTCATAACTCGTTCGAGAAGCGTGGCTTGTGTATCGGTATGCGATACATTCACTTTTTGTAAAAAAGAAAAGAGTATATATTAATCTATTGGAAGCATCGCATCGTTGTATCACCTATTTTTTTCGATTCCTCGTTCAAGCAGCTCGAGCGTGTAAAACGCGGAGCGTAACCTACGGCGTAATCGCTGTAACTTCGATTACGCGTAATTAAGATTTCCACGTCGATACTAGAAACGATGTAACTATTTTACTGAAACGAATATCGAACAATGACAAATGGAAAACAGTTTAAAAACTATCGGGAACAGAATACAAAGGGACTATAAGGAATTCGATTACAGGTAGATTCGCTTGTTATCCGGAAAAAAGGAGAAGAGCAAGGAAAAGAAAGTCGATAAAATAGTAGAATCGGCGGTGGTGTCGAGCGTGAGGAGAACCCCTGTAGCGCAAGGAGTGGGGGAAGGATAGAGCTCGACGAGCCAATGAAGGGAGGAAGTGCGCGGCGCAGATGCGTGGTACATTCGATGCGCCGGGCTGGTCAGAGCAAGCGTGGACGTGTACCGCGTCGGATCCTTTCGATTTTTCGCTCGATTCTTTGCTCGTTTTTCCACTTACGACCGCGTTGCGAGTCACACCGCTGCCAGACTCGGACCGATAGCTTCCTAGTTACGCGAGTGCTTCGAACCCGATCGGTTCTTCTTGCCGTTCTCGAATCTTAATCGCCGAAATACGTACGTACTACGGGGAATCGAGAAAACTTCCGGGATTGGAAGGTGAATCGAGCCGGAGTATCGACGATCGACACAGTGCGGACGAATCACACGTGCAGTGACATCGGTATCGAATTTTGAGCGATCAATCGAGATTTCTCCGTCGTTCGTCCAGTCGGTTGGACGTAAAACGTACCGCGTGTCGAGTTCGTAGGATTCTAAGTTTCGCTCACGAAACATCTGCGATGATCATAAGAGTGAGAATTCGAGTGACGCTATATATTAGCGACACTGTCTTTCGTTCTATACGTTTTTGGTACTCGCTTTTACTTGGACCCGAACGCATTGCGGCTATTTTGAACGAGTAGACCAATAGCACCGGTAAGAATGTAAAGATTGGTCGGACAGAAGAACCGCGAGTGTCAGTAGTTTACAGTGTCCGGTGAATTTGACTTTTCGAAAGGCATCTACGCTCGCTGGAAGTCGCCAACGTCGAACCAGGATTGGAGCAGAAAGGTCAGTGTGCGTTTCATTGTGTTTCATTTATCGATCGTTGCGGCATACTTTACTATACGTAGAAACACGAAATACGATATACGAAACAACGAGATATCGGAACGACCAGATATATATGAAAATTATCAGTTTCGTCTTGTCTACGATCGAACAAAACGATATATAGAAAATGTGGGTCAAATCGAATCTTTCGAAGATCGAGTATCGAAAATCGACGTGGATTCGCGTGAAAGCAGACGAGATCGGTGGACGTTCCGATGGAACCTCGTTAGTTTTTTTTCTTAACGAAACGAAATGCCAGAAACGTGACTGTTGAGCGGTAGTTGAGAAGTAGTCGGGGTGTAATTAAGATCGATAGCTGGAGATTAGATTGTTCCGGGGAAAAGGGAGTAGCTGAAAGGGGGTGCAGAGACGAGAGAATTCGGGATCGAAGGATGGTGGAGAGAAGGTGGTTGCGCTGAAACAAGCGTACGCGGTGAGCGGAGGAACGTTGCGTGCAGGAACGAGGCTCGTTTCGTTTCTGCAATACCAACGATGCGATACAAGTGTGACTATCGCGCGTTCACCTACGATTATCACTGTCAAGGGGGTTTAACAGATTTAATGGAACGTTTCAAACTTCTTTTCCGTCGCTCTACTTTTATTCTTTCCGTCCCTACGAGCGTGCGTACGCCCAATGATTAATTCATGCTTACCTCCGCGTCAACGATTTCATTTTGCACGCAGTACTTGCAGCTTGAATCGGATTAGGTTACGTCGTAAGTTCTCGTCGTGTAAACTGGCTTACTGTCGGAATTACGCGTTCCGTACTTGGTTTACTAATATTCCACGTTACGTAAATGGACCATGCGACCCGTTCTTTCGTATCGGAGATAAATACGCGTGTTTACGTCCTCTCCGATATTTCCAAAATGTCGTTCGTTGTAATTTCAAAGTATCGAGGACGTTAAAATATCGTATCAATATAGTCGAGCTTCTCGAATATAATCGAATATAGCGTGATATCTCAGAAAAGAAACTCTGTTTTCATAAATTCGCGTATTTCGTGGACGAAGTGGAGTTTCGATCGATTTATCTTCTAAGAGTCTGCCGTGGTATCCGATCCTGATACTCGGTGCTCCTTTCTCTCCTCTTCTTCTCTTTCGTTTAGCCTGTGAATTCTTCTAATTGCACTCGTCAACGAAAAAGACAGCACGCGTCGTTTCGATTGCTCTTTCGCACGCGCGATCTTACGATCGATTTATTCCCATCGAACGGTACGTTCGTTCGATCGACTTTGGACGTTAATGAACGACGGAACGAGCGCGCATCGAAGATTGATAATCGACGTCGGTCGTTCCCGTGAAAGTCAACGTACCGTAAAGTTCTCGGTTCATTCATCGTTCCCACGTTGCGTAATAATCGTTGCTGGCACGTGCCACGTGCGACATACAGACGTTACCGGTTCACGGAAGCGTTGTCGTTTAGCCGGCACGCTCAGTAGCCGATTTACCGAAAATCGTCTACATTTAACGGTATTTCTACGTTTCTCTCGGAGAACCGCTCGGAATGCGGCCCAGACACGGCACGATACGATCAAACGATCGGACGATCGAGTTAAGATCGATCCTCTTAAAAGCTACACCGATCGTACTCCGCTTCTGGTAAAACTCTGGTTCGAGATCAGGGATTAGGTCGTCTACGAGGTATCGGGTTGAACGCGGATTAGACGATGGTAGAAAGAACGATACCGGTTTCCCTCTTCGAGGTAATGTTTACCACTCTTTCCCTATCTCCGAGCATACAGCTATACAAGTCGTGTATATTAAAGCAACTCGCGGAAGAGGATCGTCGAGAGGTTACGTCGTTACTTATCAAAAGCTACTCCCTGTCTTTCACATTCCCTGTTCTGCCCTGTTCTTACCTCCGACTACTTTACCGCTTTCTTGCCTTGCAAAATGATCGAGCTTTAGCCTCGATGACAGTGGAGTACTCTCTTGCCTCCTTTTTAAGAAATCCAACTGGAGAGATGAACGTAACGAGGAACAATATCACAGAAACAGCGAGATTTCGAAAGTTTCCGTCGAAAGCGCGTAACGTATTCGTAAAAATTTTCCGTCGCGAATATTCCATTACTTTCGGATATTTAAAGGTGTAAAGATACCCGGGATGAGTATAATATTCGTTCGAATATTTGACGCGTTTAGTACCATCGTTTTACTTCTGTTCACGAAGATGCAAGATTGCTTAAATATATATAATACATGTAAGTATGTCAACGAAAGCCAGCGAGTCAAACCATCGACTAATATCGCGGACGAGGCAGTTTAACGATATCGACTCCGCGGCATAATAGATCGTTCGGTGAAGGAGGCTCGTTATTGATAATTAATCTCATTACGAGGTTCTAGCGTAGCGGCAATGGAAAAGGACCGATCGGCTCCCTCGAAATCGAATATAATAGCCTTTTCATCGGTTCTTTTTTCACGCACCTTTCATCGCGTATGCCGTCTGCACTGCCGGAGTTAAACTTTTCTCCGCGGACAATATCACCATTTATTATAGCGAACAGTTTTATTCAGCGTATTCTCGTTGGAAAGAGCGCGCAAGGACGAATCTTTTGTAGAAGAAAGTTATCGAAAGCGATTTATTTCGCGGTCAGTGCTAAGCTCGACTGGCCTCTACGCGATGAGAAACGAAATTGGATTTTGAAATGCTTCAAATGAACGACCGTATCGTGACTAATTTTCGTGCTAACTAATTTTCAGCGTATATACTCGTATGTATATGTAACGACCTCGAAATCCTTTTTCTTCGTTCTACGTGATCGCGTTACGGGCTTTGTAAACGTTTCGAGCTTCAAAGCAACCTTGTGTGTATATGTGTATACCGGCTTCCGGTTTCCGATCAATCTAAAAATCGTTCACGACTATGCTTCCGGCGGAGCGTGTATCGTGGCATGGTAACCCTTCGACGAAGAATCCGAGACGAACGATTCGAAGGATAGTCGTCCCTTTATCTCGTCGAAACTTTTTCCGCCACTTTTTAAATACAAAGTGTATTCGATTAAAAATGTATGCAATTTAAAAAATATTTCATCTTCGTATAAGAAAAGCTAATAAGTATATATTAAACACGAACAGGTATACATTATGTAGGACGATGTTACAAACGGGAAATTTATAGAGCTATATTTGACGGCTTGCCCGAGTCTCCCCTGTGTTGCACTGCGAAAGGGTTGAAATAATTATACGGAGGTTTGCTTAATATGAAACTTTCTTTGGAAGGAGCACCGCCGAGACGTACATATTTTGTGCACGCAACAGGCTATCCTGGCACTTATACGATCTGGGCAGTACGATTACTCTCATACAGCGATATTTTTCTTGTCTTCGTAATTTATGAGCGTAATATCGAGTAACGCGTAACGCCGCAGCTTTCATAGACTGCCATAAATTCTTTACTGCACGCCTAGGTCGTTAGAAAATTGACGAAGGAATAACTATTCGACGATCGATTTCCTACAGGTCCAGTTTTTACGAATTACTATACGCCTTTTACCGCATGTCCAAGACGATCGAGTATCGGAAAGAAAATAATTAATTCTTTACCGATAGATTTGCTGGCGGCTTTAAATCGCTGCAACACGAGTATTTCGAGGCATTCGTAGAGACGACGAGTAATAAGTAGTTGAAGGAGAAGGAAGGAAATCGATTCGTGGTTAAACGATCGAACGGATAACAAAACGCGTTCTTCGAGAAACGAGTGCATCCTTCCGTAGTTATGCATTCGTTGGAGCGCAAAGAGCAGGCTACGGGGTTATTTTTGTCGTTTCGTCCACACGGGAAGGAGACCATCCCGGATAAATTTATCGCTCTACGACTCGGTGTCGGTGGCAATTTCGGGATAGGCTTTTATAGAAAAACGCGAGCGCTCGTTCCAGCGCTGTTTCATCGAATTATCGCCACGTACCACCGAACGTCGCAACAGCCTCCATACGCCACTTTGAAGTTTCAAACTATCGTTTAACGATGCTTTCAAACAAATTGTTCGAAACAAATATTCCAGATCTTTCGTTCGTTCGAAAGTTTCAACTGAAAATCAATTTTATTTCAATCGCGCGGCAATTAATTACTCCGAATCGAAGAGAACGCCCCGCCACGAAAACAAAATCAAGCTGGACACAATGGAAGCAGCGCGATTAAAACACGGTAAATTTTCGCGGGCACCGAGCCAAGTGCGCTCGTACGTTCGCGCTAATCGAACTCTTTCTTTCCGATCGCATGTCGCTAATTGCACGCTGGGACTATCGTGCTTCCGTATATCGTGTTCCGTACGCACAGGTTCATCAAAATATTCCATCATTTGTAGACACCTTTTACGAATATATTATGTGTGTCGTATGAAACATTTTCAAAGTTACGACTATTCGTGCCGTGTATATTAATATTTCGTCAAATATATATTTTATACGTATACATTTTCGAATTGCTTTCGAATTTGGCACGAATATAATCGTGACGACCCAGTCTCGTCATGACTAACGTCGATACGATAACGTTTCGTACAAGGCGTAGAGTACGAACGTAAAAGTTGTCTATGACGATCCTTAACACACTTCCGTGAGCCATCGTAGTATCCTATCGTATACTATTGGTCAACAGTTCGATCAAAGAATTCGTCACGCGACCGCTTTCGATTATTGTTACAACGATCGAGGTCGTTTAGTTCTGTTCGGCGATCGTGTCAGATTTATCGTTACGCCTATTGCTGCAAGTGCTGGGTACAATAGCAGCGCACAAAGGTGATTGTCGTAACGTTCTACCATCGTCGTCTTCGGTCCTCGAGAAAATCTCTATACGAATGTTCTATACACGTATGTGTGTATTTGTAGGCAAACGTTCGAACCGAGTATAGTAGTTGGCGAAGGTTGTAGTGGTAGAGGCGTGGATGTGTACGCGCGAAGGGAAAGAGAACGAAAAGCCGGTCTTCGATGGAACACCTGTTCCACAGGTATGCGA